TGACGGAGAACAACAATGTTAACGAAGGTTTGTTTCATGTGCCCCTTTCATGTGCTTCTCTATCATATGTCAAAACTATTCAGTTGAGCTAATTCATCTTTTCAATTCTACAGACAATAGCAATGACCTGGATGGAGCAAACGATGAAGGTGTGTGTGAGAGCAACACTAAATTGTAATACTGTAATATTCTTCATCATAATGGAATATATCTTACAGATTGGCTTGACAATGCAGCACCTACGGCACCTACAGCACCCACAGCATCCACTGCTCCCACAGCTGCAGAAGAAAACCATGCACCACCAGAAGAAGAGCACTCTCAGCACTCTCAGGCTCAAACACAAAGTAAGTTGTGAGGTTTTATGATTCTTATTTGATGTGTTTATTTAATGTTTTTCTTCATTACATAAGAAAACTGATTATAATAGTGTTATAATTACAATACAATTACAATAATACAATAACAATATTCAAAACAATATTCAAAGTCATCATACAATACACACAAGTACAAGTACAAGCTGCTATGCCTGAAAAATAAACTAGTTAGTATTTACACACGTTATTTTAGTAGCATTTTTCCTATGTGTGGATCAAACTTGATCACTTAAATTATTTGAAGCTGCATTAAGTCCTGAGCTCAAGCCAATCAGAGCAGTTGAGGGGAAGTCATATTGACATGTTTTTTTTCCTAATCGACATGTTTTGCCTGCCATCAAGGCAAGAATTAATATGCTAGATTGTTAACCCATTGTTTTCAATTAATAGGATTACTTTCTACCTGTGTAAAGACTTAAATCCTGTTATTTATATAAATGGAAGATATTTGTGTTGGCATACTAGAACTGCTACATTTTACTTAAATATAAGACTTGTGTAAACACTGTAAACAACCAATCAAACAAAATATAGCACTATAACACTATACTAATGACACTTTTTTTTTTTGTTTCTCTCTTTTTGTAAAGTTTTAGGTAGGAGGAGGAGCAGCCGTAAACACGCTGCAACTTGGCAGCAACAGGACTTTCTCTCCACTCTTCAGCAGAGACAACAAGAGTGGATGGAACAGCAACTTGAGCAGAGCTATGAGCGAGAGCAGAGGCTGCTCACTGAAGTCATGGAACAGAGCAATCTCCCTATGCGCAGTATGATTGACCAGTTGCTGTCTGGAATCACCGCCCCTAATGTTGTCTGTAATGGCAGTTACAGTGGGTCTGACAACTATTACTTTGATTTGTAAACATTAGTTATATTAATTGTGAAGATTAGTTTTATTAATTTAACAGTTTATATTTCCACCTTTTGATGTCATAAAGCAGTAGTGTTCAAGTTAACTGCAAGTCTTTACCTTTAGTTCAGTAGAGATAGGCAATTCCAGGACTGCAATTATCCAAATAATTGTAGTGAAGGTCTGTGGAGTTTAAGTTGCAGTGTGTTTATATATATATATATATATATATATATATATATATATATATATATATATATATATATATATATATATATATATATATATATATATATATTATATATATATTTTTTTTTTTTTTTGTAACAGAATACAAACAAATGTAACATTTACAAATAAAAATAAGGAACTATCAAATTTGTTTATAATGTTTAACTTTTAGCAATTTACAGAACATTGGCGTAGAGGGAGGTTGGCTGTTGGCTGTAATCTTTTAGTGCCTCTCTTATTGCCTGTCCATTTTCATTGGCATTATTTATTGGGGGATTACCAGGCTGAGGGAACTGAACTTCAATCTGTGCTGCCTCTTGCATCCATCTTAGGTTTCCTGGCTCCTTTTCCCTTTCACAGAAGTTGTGCAGGGCACAACATGTGATTACCAGGTATGGACAGAAGGTGTAGTGGAGATCGTTTCTCTTCAGCAGTATCCGCCACCTTGCCTTCACCCTCCCAAATGCCATCTCGACACAGGTGCGTGCAGCGCTCAGATGAACACTGAACGACTCCTGCTCAGGTGTCTGGGCCTGAGCACGGGTATAGCCTTTGAGAAGCCAATCCAGCAGAGGGTATGCAGGGTCACCAATTATGTAGAAGTTGACCCCAACACCGTCTACATCCACCACTCTCTGAACAATAGAATATGGAACTGAAACATGACATCCTCATTAACATTAAACTTAAGAGTTGCTGTAGGACTAACCTTAGGCAGTCGGTGAGCCTGCCTATATAGATCAGACATCCTCAGTACATTGGCATCATGGGCACTGCCAGGGACCTTGCAGCTCACACTCCAAAAACCATTAAAAACACACACACTTACAATAAATGGTACACAAAAAACACTTTGGAAAATAATGAAAATAGATGTGGATTACATAAGATCTCAAATATTTATGAAATGATCTGAAAATTAATTGATTCTGTGTAAGGAATTCCTCCTGTATATCTATGCAAATGAAGGAGTAAATTGTAGAAACCTTACATAAGAAATAGCATGTTTAAGACGAGGAGGAGGAGGAAGTGCTGTGATCTGAGTGTTGGCAGCAAATAAATAAATAAATACAAATTAAAAAAAATAAATACATAAAAAAATCAAATCTGTCAGCTGGACCAAATTTTTTAGAGTGAAGTTTGCTGCTCATCCAAGCAGCTTCAGTTCAGACCTGAAGAACAGATCTGAATTTATCTTTAGCTCTGGATCACACCTGGACGACTGAGGATTAAAACAAAACAAAGACAACTCAGTAGTGGAGTTCACAGGAAAAACTAACACTGGGACATAGATTGGTGTGATCTGTGTTGGTTGTGTTGGTTGTGTTGGTTGTGTTGGTTCTGTGTTGGTTGTGTTGGTTGTGTTGGTTCTGTGTTGGTTGTGTTGGTTTTGTTGGTTGTGTGTTGGTTGTGTTGGTTGTGTTTCTGTTTGTTGGTTGTGTTGGTTCTGTGTTGGTTGTGTTGGTTCTGTGTTGGTTGTGTTGGTTGTGTTGTTGTGTTGGTTGTGTTGGTTCTGTGTTGGTTGTGTTGGTTGTGTTGGTTGTGTTGGTTGTGTTGGTTGTGTTGGTTCTGTTTGTTGTGTGTTGTTCTGTGTTGGTTCTGGCTCTTTGGCGTGGGTGTTTGTTGTGTTGTGTTTGCAGGTTTTCCATTCATGTGGTGGACTTAGACTTTGACAAACTTTATTGATCCACAAGGGAAATGACTTGTAACTCACACAAATAATAACAAAGAGAAACAATCTAAACAGTAATAACTACATCATGAATAGCAAGAGATAAGACAAATGTATATGTAAAGTAAAAATAAAAATACAGAAATATACCTCTTAAATATAATACAAGAGATTAGGTAAGAAGAAACAATGCAAATATAAAAACAGTGACTCACTGCTCAAGAACTATTATTCCATTATTACGTGAGTTGATGTACAGTTGTTTTGTATGAAGAACAAAAACCTCAGTGTTGGATCAAGACGTGTGTTTGTACTGTATTTTTCGGACTATAAGTCACACTTTTTTTCATGGTTTGGGTGTTTCCCTGTGACTTATACTCCAGTGTGACTTCCATATTAAAATGTTCACACTGAAGCCTCAAGAGGGCGCTCTAGGCTTGTGTGTCAGTATCTGCTACTCCAGTACCTGTCTGGTCTCATGTCAGTCGAGCGCACCATTACTTCTGTACCACTGAAAATAAATAAAAATTAAAACACTTATAAAGACACTGAGAAGACTGAACACAAATGCCCCCAAAAAGAAAATCATATTCTGCAGATTACAAACTGCAAGTCATGAAATCTGCAGCTGAAAACGATAATCGAGCAGCAGAAAGAAAGTTTGGAGTGAGAGAGAAACTTGTGACACCGGGAGGATGCACCATGAAACTTTCCTGAAGTCACTGGATGGACGGACAAAGTCTGGACTTCAGTGACACTGAAACCATCCTGTCGAGATTCAGAAAGACCCGAATAATTCTAACTGGAACTGATGCTGAGTCTGACAACAGCGACACAGAAGAGGAAGTGATGCTCTGTTTACCTCTGGAGGTGGATTTAGTGATTTGGAGTGAGATGGAGAGTTTGTTAAACTTGTTCTGTTCTGTTGTTTATGTTATAGTTTATCTGAAGAACTGTTCATATGTGATGTTAACAGTCTGTTGATCTCTGTTCTGTTGGTGTTGTTATTGTGTACGTACATTCTGTATGTTTTTTCTTCTTCATTATGCTTTTTTTTGGCTGGTGCGATTTTATACTCCGGAGCGACTTATAATCTTGAAAAAATACAGCAGTTTGAATCTGTTTTTACAAAATTTTTAGAATAGTATTTTAAATGTATATATTCCAATGTAAGTCAATGGGAGCCAGAGTCAGAAGGACTTCCTGTTTGGAATGTGGTGACTAGTGCGTTAGCTCTGTCCATCTATATACAAGTCTATTCAGTAAATTTAAAATAAACCTCCACCTGTGACAGTAACACCAAGTTCCTCATGCAGCTGGCTCTGTGCAGCTTAGAAGCTTCTAGCAACAGGAAGCGTGACCGTCTATGTCTAGGGATACACTCCAAACCAACTCATGTTATGCCACAAAAGTTGAGCAAGTGAACTGGAACTCTTGTAACAAACTTGTTACTTAGGGCTGTGTCTATATTCCCCCTATCACCTAAGCTCTTCATTCAGTAGAAAGGCACTATCAAGAGTCTAATTCAAGCTGTGTTCAGACTGGGACGTCAAAAAACGAGCTGGACGCCTCTAGTTGGACGTCTTTGCATTTGAGTTTAGATGCCCGTGAAGAGTGTCTTGGATGCCGTGCACGGGAGAAAAATATTTGATGCGCATCCAGGGCGTCTGTTGCCCTGGAAACAAGTGCCATTTCCCAGTCTTGTCCTGGAACGATGGCAGACCAGGCTGAGAGAGTGACTTTAGTGTATTTATTACATAAAACACACCCAAATCAATGGAGGTGATTTATACTTTCTTGTTCTGGTGTTTGTGACTCCCTGGTCTTTCTCTGTCTTATTTTTCTTTTGGATAATAACGTCGCTACGTCACTGGTAGTTGTCCCTGATTGGTAACTGGACATTCAATAACACTAAAAATGGCGTGACCACTACATAGTGCTCTAAGTAGGGAATAGTGTGGATATTGGGACACAGCCGTGCTCTCACAAACCCCAGCACATCCTGGTTCTTCATGGTCGTTAATATAAAATGACTGGTCTTCATAAAATAAAGAACATATGAGAAGTCGTAATTGCCTGTGTCCTCCAGGAGGCACTACAGTCTCACCAGAGTAACTGAGGAATGTGAAGACCTCAGTCCAATCCCAGCAAACAAAGGTTCAGTGAAGGACGAGTTAAATGTGTGAAGATGAGACAGTTTGCCATCAGATAAGACCCGATAAAAGGACAGAGCTCCAGCCTCAGAGTCCAGGAACACACCCACTTGACCTTGTACTGGGACAAAAGGCAAGAACCACTGTGGAGACAGTGATGTTTTTCTCCCATTCTGACAAACTTGCAAAGTTCCGCCAAGAACCCTCAAACTCCAGGACTGATCACTGTCTCCAAACCTACACTCTGTACTCTCTCTTGTTCTGTTAGTCACTGCTATGTCCACTGATCCACTCCACTCCACCTCCCAGTAACAGCGCCCCCTCAGGCCAGTGGAGCTCAGGACCTGTGGCTGGTCTTTAAATCTGTCCTCATGATGTGGACAGAGCTGCTCCTCTTTCAGACGGGTCACTGTGCAATTGTCCTCAGACAGAGCAAGTTCTCTGTGAGCTGTGTTTGGGTCCAGAGAGAACACACAGGAATCTGAAAAAAAATAAAATAAAAATCAACATTGGCATACAAGTTTCTGTTAAATTCTAAATAAATATATGACTTACACTTCTTTAGTCCTGGAATCATCCACTGTTCTCCCGCAGGATCCAACCTGAAACACACAAACCTGTGTCACACTCAAGTCCAGTAAACCAGACCAGTGTGGTCTCACCTGACAGACGACAGGGGCAGTGTGGTCTCACCTGACAGACGACAGGGGCAGTGTGGTCTCACCTGACACAGACAGCAGGTTGAGTGTGGTCTCACCTGACAGATGACAGGGGCAGTGTGGTCTCACCTGACAGACAGTAGGGGCAGTGTGGTCTCACCTGACAGACAGCAGGGGCAGTGTGGTCTCACCTGACAGACAGCAGGGGCAGTGTGGTCTCACCTGACAGACAGCAGGGGGCAGTGTGGTCTCACCTGACAGACAGCAGGGGCAGTGTGGTCTCACCTGACAGACGACAGGGGCAGTGTGGTCTCACCTGACAGACCTGACAGACAGCAGGAGGCGCTGGTCCTGTAGAGTGGTCAGGAGCTGTGCTGAGGGTCCTGGATGGTTGTAGCTCAGGTCTAACTCTCTGAGGTGGGAGGGGGCGGAGCTCAGAGCTGAGGCCAGAGCAGCCCCGCCCCTCTCTGAGACCAGACATCCAGACAACCTAAAGACACAGCAGCAGGATTATGATGGAATATTTTACACTATTTGTGAGAGTTCTATTCCTGTTTACTGTAAATGAATCTGTCTAAAAATATTTTGTACTATGAAATTATGAATAAAAGCATCAATGTTATAAGATCAGATAAAAGGATTAAAAATAGATGTATTACAGTGATTCATAGTGAAAATCATTATTTGGTATTAAAAACAGGCAAAACTTCATGCTCTTTTATAAGACGTATGATGTCATCACATGTTCATTGAGTTACACCAGGTATGGGAGCACAAGCTCTATGCTGGAGATATTTTTTTATATCATTAAAATAACTTAAAATGGATTATGTCTTCTCATCCTCGTCCAGGTTTGGGGCCACATATGACCCTTTGGTTGACTCTGACCGGCCTGTTTAAGCTCATTTGGAATGACAAAATAAACATATTTTATAATTTGACCTCATGCATGGACTAAAGCTGCATTGCTTTTATTTTAGAGTCATTTTTAAATAAATTTTTTTATAAGACAACCTCACATTTTCATTGCTGAGTCATAAAATCAACTCTTACCAGTCTGAGCAGCTCATCAAAACAATATTTACTGCTTTTTATAAAGAAATTACAGAAGCCGAGAGGGGTCACAACAAACGCAAACTCCGCAACAATTACAAAAACACAACAAAAAGCCACAATACACCAAAAAAAGGCCACAACGGAAATGACCGCGGGACAACGTGAAAAGTAAAGGAATGGAGAAGTTGGAAACGTAAGTAAAAGTATTTTATTGTTTTATCATCATTCTTTTCATATTGTAGTTCTTCTTCTTCACTTGCCACTTGTGTTGTGGCTTTTTGATGTGTTGTGACTTTTTAATGTTTTGCGGCATTTGTGTTTGTGTTGTGGCGTTTGCATTAAAATAGAGTCTCGCAGTCATTTCCGTTGTGGCTTTTTTTGGTGTGTTGTGGCTTTTTTTGGTGTGTTGTGACTTTTTGTTGTATTATCGCATTTGTATTTGTTGCGGCGTTTGCGTTTGTTGTGACCCCTCTCGGCTTCCGTAAGAAATACAATTACTGTTATGCAGAACTGAGTTAAGCATTTTGGCCCAGCTCTCCACAATATTTTCTGTTTCTTATGTGGCCCCATGGAACAAAAAACAAAAACAAAAAACTGCCTCCCTCTGCTTTAGCGTTCACACCCATAGCACAGTGTGGCTGTTTAAAGCTGAGAAATGGCCATTACATTATCATTAGGTAATATTGCACAGCCTGAGCAGGTCCAATAATGTAGAACAGGGTCTGTGGGTCCATGCAAGTGTCTCACCTGAGAGTCTCCAGTCTGCAGGGGGCTCTCTTCAATCCAAAACACAGCAGCTCTACTCCTAAGTCCTGGAGGTCGTTGTTACTGAGATCTAGGTGTGTGAGACTGGAAGAGCTGAGGACTGAGGCCAGACAACTACAGCTGTGAAGAGACAGGTCACAGCCACAAAGACTGAGGAGATAGAGAGGGACGTTAGAGACTGGAACCATGACACAAGATTTGGAATACAGTCTGAACTCACAGGGCTTTGGTGGAGGCTTTGACCACCGGCAGCAGACCCAGGAGAGCCGTGTGTGACCGCTGATATTTCCTCAAGTCAAACTCCTCCAGGTTTGAGTCTGAGGACAGTAAGAGGAAGGACAGAGCAGACCACTGAGCAGGAGACATGGGTCTATTAGAGAGACCTCCTTCTCTCATGTATCTCTGAATCTCCTCCAGCAGACTGTGGTCGTTCAGTTCGTTCAGACAGTGGAACAGGTTCAGACTTCTCTCTGCAGACAAACCTTTTTCATCCAGATTCTGTTTGATGTACTCTACTGTCTCCTGATTGGTCCGGTCTTTTTCTGTCTTAGTCAGCAGGCCGTGCAGCAGCCTCTGATTGGTCGGCAGAGACAGCCCCAGGAGGAAGCGCAGGAACAGGTCCAGGTGTCCGTTTGGACTCTGTAAGGCCTGGTCCACAGCAGAACGGTGGAGATGGGTCAGATCATGTTTGCGTCTGAAAAGTTTTGTGATAGTGAGTGCTCTTTGCTTATCGAGTAGGTTCAGCCCAGACTCTGTGAAGGTCTGATGGACGTGAAGAGCAGCCATAAACTCCTGCACACTCAGATGGATGAAGCAGTAGACATTGTCCTGGTACAGGCCTGGCTCCTCTCTGAAGATCTGAGTGAACACTCCAGAGTACACTGAGGCCCCTGCAGCATCCAGCCCACACTCGCTCAGGTCACTCTTGTAGAAGATCAGATTTCCTTTCTGCAGTTGCTCAAAGGCCACTTTTCCCAGAGACCTCACCATCTCCCTGGTCTCTGGAGTCCAGTGAAGGTTTGCCCCTAATCCCTGGTGATATTTGATGTTTTGGACTTTGACCTGCACCACCAGGAAGTGGATGTACATTTGTGTGAGAGTTCGGGGCATCTCTGGTTCCTCTGTTTGTGCCAGAAGCTTCTGTAGAACCGTGGAGAGGATCCAGCAGAAGACCGGCAGATGACTCATGATGTGGAGGCTGCGGACGCTCTTGATGTGAGAGATGACAGCTGTGGTCTGGTCTCTGAATCTCTTCCTGAAGTACTGCTCTTTCTGTTGATTGGTGAACCCTCTGACTTCTGTCACCATGGAGACGCACTCAGCAGGGATCTGATTGGCTGCCGCAGGGCGCGTGGTTATCCAGAGGTGAGCAGAGGGAAGCAGGCTCCCCCTGATGAGGTTCACCAGCAGCACATGCACTGAGGCGGACTCTGTGGGGTCAGTCACGACCCGAGTTCGGCTGAAGTCCAGAGGAGGTCTGCACTCGTCCAGACCGTCAAAGATGAAGAGCATCTGGAGCTGTTGGAAGCTGCAGAGATCTTTAGATGGACTGAAGAAGTGGTGCAGCAGCTCCACCAGACTGAACTGTGTGCCTCTGAGCACATTGAGCTCTCTGAAAGTGAACGGGAACAGCAGCTGGAGGTCCTGGTTGGCCCGGCCTTCAGCCCAGTCCAGACTGAACTTCTGAGTCAGCACCGTTTTTCCCACACCGGCCACGCCCATCGTCAGCACCACTCTGATTGGCTCTGGTGAATGTGGGCGCACTTTAAAGAGCTGTTCACATGTGATGGTGGTCTCTGGAGCAGCCAGTCTCATGAATACGGTCTCCATGTGCCTGACCTCATGCTCCTGGTTGACCTCTGAGACTCCTCCATCTGTGATGTAGAGCTCTGTGTAGATCTGAGTCAAAGAGGTGGAGTTGGCTTCAGTCATGCCTTCAAACACACGACTGAATCTCTGCTGCAGACTGTTCTTCAGATTAGCTTTGCACTTTCCAAATACAGTCCCTGAAAGAAAACAAAAATAAAAAACAGATCAGTTAACCCACAAGGATCTCCTCTTGTCCCACTTTCTCCACTGACAGAACCTCTACAGCAACAAAGTAAAGGCTGCACAGTCCCATCTTCTCATATGGACGTAGTGTTAATCCATCAGGTTGAAGAATGTAGTTCAAACTCTTTGAAATGCACAATGGGGGTGCTTCAGGGATCTGTACTAGGCCCCTCACATTTTAGCCTCCATATTAACAACTTTCCACTGCAGTGTCAGAGCGTACAACCAGGGCTGAAAGTAAGAAGAAAGTCCAGTGCGCAAGATTATAAGATTTGGTGGTTTGCTATACCAGAAGACAGTGAGACGATGAGCTGCCGAACCTTACGCACAGAAAACTAGTCACTGAAATAACTGAGTATAGACTAAAACTATCACTTAAAACACTTAATTTAATTTATTTCTGCATCAGGTTGTGTATTTTTTAGAAATATTTAATCTGCCCTGCCCCGAACTTTCAGCTCTTTGAATCGAGGTCATTTATATTGATCTGACTCTTTCTCTGGAGACGCACAGAGATGCACACACATACCCTTTCTTCACACTCTTCTGTCTTCAGCACAAGTGTGACTAAAGGAGAAAACTATCTAAGCAAATGCCATGACACAAGAAAAAAGTTTCTAAGTGTCTATCCATGTTAATTTAATTAGCATATATTGATATGTTTGAGAAAAGTCACATTGTCCATATATTGATATACATGTGCCTCTGCAATGAGGTGTCACGTGCACAGAATCCCATCCCCTGTTAAAGGGATAGTTCGGGATTTTTGACATGTATCTGTATGTCATCCCTGTCATCAGTGTCGTGCATCAACACTGACTTACCCCCGACAGCGTCCGGTGAGCCGAGATACTGCCCGTTTTCGGTGCTGACGAAAGTAGTCCGGCAAGTTGTCTGGGGTCTGTATAATAAAGTGTTTTTCTTCTCAAAACAATCTGTGTTCAAAAGAACACATCGCTGCGGTCTGCACATGTAAACACTGCCGAACAACTAAAGAAAGTGATGGATCTGTGCGCGGCTGTCACCTGGCGGCAGCGTGCAGTGATACGAACAGAAAGAAAATAGTGCCAAGTGATAATGAGGTCTGACTTTTTAGGCGACGATGGTTTTGTGATGCAAATGTATCACTCTTTTGAACACAGATTGTTTTGAGAAGAAAAACGCTTTATTATACAGTTCCCAGCCAACTTGCCGGATGACTTTCGTCAGCACCGAAAACGGCCAGGATCTCGGCTCACCGGACGCTGTCGGGGGTAAGTCAGTGTGGATGCACGACACTGCTGACGGGGATGACATACAGAATTATGTCAAAAATCCCAAACTATCCCTTTAACAGAGGCCAACTATACTATAAAACTATAAGAGGGTATAAACCTAATAGGCACTGACACAATGTCTTCCCAAGTGTCCCTTGTTTTGTCTTAGAGGTATTTCAAAGTCCAAAAGCTTCATTATGTGTAAATTGTCAGCAGGAAGTTTGTCCTGGTTTTGCCATGGTTAAAATGAAAGTTATTAAAAGGGTGAATCAAAACATGACCTAAATATGTGACAAGCCAAGAGTCCTGTGCCCTTTGTTCATAGGACTTCCATGGATAAAGTGAGCAGGTTACAGAATGAAGGTTATTAAGATCATGACCATTATTTGAACATAATATGCCTGATGTACAGCTGAAAAACTCTCCAGAGCTTTAGAAGATGTGTCTTTTCTTTTCTTAAATATGCAAAAAAGAAAAAAAAAAAACATTCATGAAAGAATTGTCTGTAATGTCTCTAATGTATTCCATACCACGTTTTACCTCTTGGAAACATGTTGAACCTCCAAAGAACCATCACTGTAACATCTTGGTGAAAGCATCAACACAAACACTACAGAGAAACCTCAGTGAGATATTTGACTCTGATGCCAACCTAACTGGAGTCGCCATGTCCTGGCCCTTAAATTCAGCTTGCGTATAGGCGAGTTTCAGCTGACGTCATTGTTATTAAAAGCCCCGCGTTGCATGCTGGGAAATATTTGGTCAGAGGCAAGAAACACGATAGCGGTCAAACACAGTGTGTAACCTCGCGTATTTATCCCCAATAATGGTAAATTCCTGCTGCATTATCGGATGCACAAATAGAAGCACGGAAGAAGGAAAATGTCTTTTTCGTATTCAGAGTGAAAAGAACCACTAACGGTGAATTAAATGTCTTTCAAACATTCACAGAGCAAACGTAGAAGATCCTAACAAACCGTGGACTCCAACAAGTTCAACAACACATCGAGACTCTTGGAGGTTTTCATCTTTTCTGCTGTGAATGGCCCAGGAGTTTCCACCAAGTCATTGTGGATATTGTCCAATTGAATATTTGTCCAGGTAGTTGGTGATTCTGACCAGAAATTTGGTTTGGTCCACCTTTTGTCGGGATTGAAAAGGGTGATTTGGCTCCATCGATGCTTATGACCAATTTCTGGTCAAATGGTCTTGGGTCCTCTGCCGTTAGAGTGGATAAATAACCAGGATCAATACCCTTTACGTGCTTTCTCGCTCCGTCTGTCATGTTCAATTAGTGTTTCTTGCCGCCGACTAAAATAATTCCCAGCATGCAACGTGCGCTTTTGTCAACAATGAAACTCACCTATTTGTTCACATTATGGTTGCTAGGTAACGTATGTAATGTCTACTGCCCGTGTCAAACCAGGAAGAAAAGTTATAAGGTTCAGCAAAATGACAGAGCTAGAAAAAATATTATTTATAATGAATTAACAAAAACAAACTTAACTGTGTTTTAGTGAAATGAGTGTCATATGCACTTTAACTGGGTTCACAGAGAATGTGAAGTCTCAACAGACTTTTTCTGTTTTCATATTGATGTCTCCACTAGTTTTATCTTTAAAAATAATAATAATAATAATCTCATTAATGCACTATGTCTGTATTTTATAATTTTTTACTTACTGTCTCTCAGGCTCTGGGCCAGATGTTCCTGGTTCATTCTCTTCAGAAAGTCCAGGGTGATGTTTAGAACCTCTCTGCTCGGCTCCTCCCTGTCACTCTCAGAGGATTCTGGGTAATCTGAGGCCAGGAGCCTGTGGAGCCTCTGCAGCTCCTGTCTGACAAAAGTCACAATGTCGTCCTCCAGCCGCTGGAACACACAGACATGCATGATACATGGTAAGGTAATGGTAAGGAGCATTTGGTTGAGTGGAGTGCATTTTTCTGTTGGAGAAGTTTTGTTTATGAAGTCCATTTCTCAGTGCAGTTAGAGTATAACACTCAAAATCAGCCCACATTAATAATAAGGTCAAGGTAGACTTTACTGTTCTCTGAAATGGACCCTCCTGCTGCTGGGGCACTCTCTCAGCAGCAGTGAGCACCACAGAGCTGTACTCAGGAACTCATCTCTCCAAGTCCCGATCAGGACTAGCTCAGTTGGAGGATTGTACTTACTGTGCATGTTTTGGGTTGATGGGGGAAACCGGAGTGCCCAGTGGAAACATGAAAAAATCATGAATAATTCACTGCAAAACCAAACTCTTTTATTTACCAAACTCTAGTATTTTACAAAGTCGACTGCATCCACCCACTGATGCAAATATCCCACAGTACCCCTCTAATAATATTTTACACTGTATGTAAAAACAATATGTAAGGTTTGAAATTAGATTCATGTGTTAAAACAATACATTCCCGTGGGTTTAATACTAATACAACATAATCTAAACAAATATCTGATGTAAACTCAAGTTTCTTTCTTGATTGTTGTGTGAACAACCTTTGGGGGCCTCGCTTCAAAATGCTTTTGAGCTCCCGAAGAGGCCCCTGGATCCACACTGGGAAACACTACTCAAAAATATAAAGCTCTCCTGGTCTGATGAGCACCGGTTATGTAAGTTTTCTACGTTTGACTGCAGCACTCCACACTCAAACTTCTTTCTCTTTTGTTCCCTTTTAAGAGGATCTGTTCAAGATGGATGTGAACAAGGGAGTCCTGCCTCTCTCATATTATTTACACATCATCACACTGGTAGACTGTCTGCCAACAGAGAATTAGTTTTTCTCCTGCTCAGGCCATTAAAGCAGCTTTATATTATATTCAGTCAAACATTAACATGGTGTTGTGAACTTTCTGTACTTACTGTAAATACAACATCCAGATGGAGGCGCTCTCTGCTGCTTTCATCAGGGCTCAGCTTCACTCTGTGGATAGAGTTTAAAAACAAACCTTATACTCCCCAGACGCTTCCCTCATCTCTCAGACTGCATTAAGGTTCTGCTTCAAACATGTTCCAGTGCATGACCCAGAAACTGTACAGAGATGTTTTTTTCAGTGACAAATGTTTATTTTGAAATGTAGTTTTGTTTTTTCCCCAAAGTTTTTAAGTTTTATTAATTTCAACATTTTAATATTTAGTCACAACTTTTCTGGTGGAGGATCTGCCACATGACCGGGGCAGTGGTCCATTTGTTTAAGAAAAGGGACCAACTTCAACTCCAGGGGAATCACACTCCTCAGCCTCTCTGGTAAACTCTGTTCTGTGGTACTGGAGACGAGGTATTTGTGTCATGTTATAAACACAGAGCAAAATCACATGAATAAAGTCGGCAGAAGTGCACTTTAAATGCAAACTAATCGTGCCACAAATCACCTCCAAACTCTGTCAGTTTTTGACCCACAAACTAAAACAAAACATGTTATTTCACTAAGCATTTAACTAAAAAGGCAACTGGATTATGCACACCTTAATTTTGTGTCACTGAAAAAAAAATCTGATTGGACTATCACATTTGACAGGGTTTGGGGCCAGACTAAACTGTATAAAAGAAAATACTGAGAGATATCACTCATAGGCACCCGACTCATTCCTGAGACGTTGAGTTTTGTTGAAAGGAGATGTAATATTTAGAAGCGTTTGTAAATACTGGATTTGGTTCCTTTGTTTGGTTGCATTCGTTCATAACGTCCAGACATCGCACTGTTCTTGATTTATCACAGAAAAGGAGAGGAGCACTTACCCCTCGTCTGGAGGAGAGACGTCTTTAAAATCAGGAGCTCTGTCTTTGGACCAGTCGCTCCTTAGACAAACCGAGTCAGGACCAGGGACCTGTGCCCTCCTGTTAAAAAGAGTTTATAAATGTGAAACACAGAGTGCTCCTGATATAATGAGTTATTATGATCATTGTTATTACCTTTTATCAAC